AGCAAAAGAACAGTTTTCATCATCAAAATCTGTAAGAGACATAGACAAAAAAAAGGAATGATTTCCACATGACCTGTATTGGTTATGAGTTTGCATATGACCAGCTAGTGGATTGCTTAATTAATGGTGTCTAATGGTAGACAGCAGGGTTGGGCCTAATAGGCAGCTAAGCACAGGTTCAGGAACTCAGTTTTAAAACTTTATCCACTGGTGAGGAAGGTCTGAGAGATCAGTTTACACAAACTGCTGAATAAATTTGACTGCCAGGTTAAATGTATTAACTTGCCACGAGAAAGGTCACTATACAGGATGACCAATCCACTTCAAACAAGTTGTAGGTTAAAAGATGGCTCGGAGTCAGAGGAAGAAGCCAGAAGCTGCTTGAAAGAGATTACTGGTCATTTTCCCCCTTGGATTTTGGGCTGTAGGAACCTTACTGCTGGAACTTAACAGCTTTGATGTCTTAACAGTTCATGTGAGGTTAGAAATTAGATGAATTATAAAAGAAAAAGCTAATGCTTTTTAGCATTTGCCAAAAAACAAATATGTCATGGGTTGAAATTAAATCACCTGGTGGCTCAGGAGGTGAAGAATCTGCCTGCAGTGTGGGAACTTGGGATTGATCTCTGGGTCGGGAAGATCCCCTGGAGGAGGGCATGGCAACCCACTCCAGTATTCTTGCCTGGAGAATCCCATGGACAGAGGGGCCTGGTGGGCTACTGTCCTTGGGGCCTCAAAGAGTCAGACACAACTGAGTGACTAAGCAAAGCGCAGCACAGCAATGTAAGTACTAGTCTAAGCCCGGTGTTTAGATGATAAGACTCCTGTTTGTAGTAGCTGTATGCCATGGGCTGTGGAGCATACAACCTATTGGAAATCCAGTGCTTGCTAAGGACTAGTACCAGCAGGTGGTGTGTCTGTATTCTCCAAGGTACCCATTTCACTTTTTTTTTTAATGTAGTAGTTGTGAGAGATTCAGAGGCCGGAGCTGAGGTCCAGTGAAATTTTTCAAGCAAGTCATGGTTATAGGATCTTTCCAAAACATCTTTACAATTGTTTTCAAATCCTTGTAGACAATCCTAATTGTTCTGTTATGTAATAACCAATGCTTAGAAATGATCGAATTTGATAACTAAGTAAAACCTCAAGGGCCAAATGGATTACATAACAGGGTTCAGAAAAATTAATCCAGCATGATTACAGAACAACTCAAATTCTATTTTGAGGAACTGTAAGAACAGGGGAGATTCAGCAAAGCCCTTAGGGACAAGCAGACTTACCAGACAGCTCTGAGAGTCCTTCTGAAGTTGGTATTACACGTTCACAGTGGCATCAGTTAATATATCTCTAGGAGTTCTGAGGTGGCCACCTTTTATTTTGTGTGTCCCCTACCCTTCCCTTGTGGAAAGCGGTCCCTTCCCTGACTCTCGTCTAGTTCTAATGGAGGCTACCGACACGAGTATCTTGTCTAGTTATACGTGATTGGCCTGTGAGTGGACGCCCGACCTAAGGCGGCTCAGAGCCCTCCTTTGGGATTTGCTGAACTAGCATAAGAAGGAAAAGTTAGTAACTTTCTAGGGATGGGGAGCATCAGATATGATGCTTGAGTCTATTTCTCGTCATGAGAAGCCGACAAGCCAGCATGACTCCCAGCAGCAGGAGTCTCGTCCCAGCCGCCCCACCCAGAGCCTTGGCTGCACTCTTGGCTTCCTCTGGTTTGGTTACATGAGCTACTCTGGCAGCTCCATTAGAGTCCCCTTGCCTCTAAACTATCGTGAATTGATAGTTCTGGCCAGAAGAGTTCTAGCCCAGACAAGTTCTCTTAAGCCTGGGTACAAGGATGAAAAGTAAATGATTATATTGTTCCCAGGCTGGATTTGAGCCAGGTAAACAAGGGTCTTAGACTGAGGATATTTGTGAAAAGTTGGCTCGTGAAAAGCTGGGCCATGCACCTGAGCTGATAAAAGAAAAGCAGCAAAACAGGACTTTTAGCAAGAAGATTAATAAACTGAAGGAGTGTAAGATACTGACCTTTAGGATTTAAGAAGTAGAGCAGTTCCTGGTGAAAAAGCTAAGTATAGTCACAGAATAGACCAAGTGTAATATGTTAAAGTTCAGATTGAGAGGATTCAAGGAAACAGAAGATAGGGCTGTCCAAATGGACAAACATTATCCCAGATGATGGTGGGACTCACATAGAAAAAAAGGCCATTAACTGTGGGAAAGAATAACTAGTTACTGAGTAGATGACATAAGCAGCAGGAATAGACAGGTAGATGGTTGAACAGTATAAATCTGAAATTGTATTTCCGAGGTTCTCCATGTTTAAGACAGATTAACGACCTCCACCCATGCTGGAAGGGAATAGTTTCCTAAAAGGAAACCAAGTTTCTGTTTAAGGCCAGGCTGTGGAAGGAGTACTTCCTTACAAGGATGAAAACATGGGTGAAATTGCTTTGAATAGACAGGACGGGACGTTCCAGAGGGCACAGGGCAAAGGACAAGAGCAGGAAAAGGAAAGGTTTGGGAGAATGGAGTGGAATGGGAGAGGACAGCTGTCTGGAGAGCCTTTTGTCTGACGGGTACTCAGTGTGATAGGGCAGTGAGGATTAACTGGCCTCACTTGAGTCTAGGAAATTCCTTTGAAAAGAGTGTTTCAGAGCTGGGCTAAGCAAAGCACAGGAGGCACAGGTTTCTGAAGAAGGGGACATTTGGCAGCCAGGTCTAGGGGTGTGTTTTTTCCTACCCTGTGTCAGTAGCAACATAAGCTATTCACAGCCTGTATTAAAGCCTCTTTGATTTACTCAAATATGTTGATTGAATGTCTCTTATGTGCCGGGCACTGTGCTAGATTCTGGGTTTGGGGTTACAATGGCAAGAGATTGAACAGCCTCTTTGCACAGGAAACATAATAGTCTGAGCTATAGGCCTGTTGAATGGTCTGAATGTTTGTGTTCCTCCAAAATGCATATGTTGAAATCCTGGCCCAAATCTGTATCAAGGTGATGGTATGAGGAAGTGGGACATTTGGGAGATGACCGGGTCATGCATGGTATTGGTGCCCTTGTAAAAGAGGCTTCTGAGAGAGTTTACTTACCCCTCCTATCATATGAGGATGCAGTGAGAAGTCTGCACCCCGCAAGGGGATACCCACCTGACCATACTGGCACCCAGATACCAGACTTTCAGCCTGCAGAACTGCTAGCCACAAATTTTTATCATTTATAAGTTACTCAGTCTGTGATGTTTTGTTAGAGCAGCCTAAACAGGCTAAGACACCAGTAAATAGACAATTTTAATACTTTATATTACAATAGGGCAAGTAGAGGGTATAATAGGAATATGGACAATGGAGGTGGGACAAGTAACCCAGATTTAGGAAGATCAAGGACTGCTTCATGGAGGAAGTGCTGAATAAGCTGAGACCTTACAAAGAGGTGTGAATTATGAGGAGAGGGGACAAAAAGCAAGAGAAGAGAAAGGGAGAGTATTGTGGGCAGAGAACAGCATGCTCAGAGTCCCAGAGGCAGAGTAAGGAAGACAGAGACATTGAAAGAAGCCCGCTTCTTATCTTGTAGGGCTGTTGTGAGGTTTAGCTCTTAGAACAGTGTCTGTCACAGAGTATTCCATAAATATAAGAAATTATTACTGGGCCTGGAGCATAGAATTAAGGGTGAGGATGAAAAGAGGTGAGAAATAAGGCTACACAAGTAAGCAGTAAACTATACATCCTGTACCAGGCATTTAGACTTAATCCAGAAGTCACTGGCAAACCCACTCAACAGATTGTCAATAGTGGAGTAAAATTCCTGCATTTTAGAAAGATGGGCTGAGACTAGCAGCCTGGAAACAAGGCAGAAGATTGTTGTATTCACAGTCTGAACTAGATGTGGATAGTGATAATGGGGAAATGTGGGTGGATTTCAAGATACTTGGAAGGTGGATATGTCAGTTTCCTGGGACTACCATAACAAATTACTACAAACTTGGGGAATAAAACAACAGAAATTCATTCTTTGACAGCGAGAAGTCTGAAAGCAAGGTGTCAGCCTCAGGGTTGGTAATCCTTGCTGTTCCCTGGCTTGTAGCCTCACAACTCTGGTACCTCTCCATCTTCACTGGCCGTCTCCCCGTGCCTGCATCTCACATCTCCCTCTTCATCCTCCTCTTCTTTCTCACATAAGGAGCCTGGTCATTGGATTTAGGGCCCATCCAAAGTCCAGGATGCTCTCATCTTGAGACAGTTTTGATCGTATCTGCAAAGAGCCTGTTTCCAATAAAGTCACATTCAAAGCACTGGGAGTTTAGAACATGGATATATGTTTTGGGGAGAGGGGGACACAATTTGACCCAACAGAGTAGAATTAGTAGAACCCTACTGATTGGCTGGATGGGGGTGAGGGGCTTGGAGGGGAAGGGGAAACCAGGGGTAACATCCATGAACAACTGGGTGGCGGATGGTGCCATTTACTAAGTAACAGTGGGGGAGAAACAGGTTTGGAGGAAGAAGGTGACATCTTTATTTTGAGGTGCTTGTGGAGATCCAAGTGGGGTCAGGTAGCAGTTGGTCATGTAAATTGTGAGTCCAGTGGATGGCGATGAGGGCTGGGCATACAGTTTCGGGTGATAACTGAAACTGTGGACATGGGTGAGATTGCCAAGGGAGAATCTGTAGAATAAGAAGAACCCTGATCAGAATTCAGACACACAAGAGTTTTGGGGAAGGACAAGAAGAGTAGCAGTCAGGGAAGCAGTAGAAAACATTGAGAGGAAAGTCTCGGAAAAGGTCAGAGAAGGAAATGATGACAGCAGGAGTGAGCCGTTTCTAAGGAGTTTAAGAGAAACCATAATGAAAGAGGTGAGACAGTGCGAAGAGCGTAAAGAAATACTGCAAAAAGTTTGGCTGTTAGGAGCAGGTGAGGTTGGCAGGTGATAGGAGATGCAGACAGAGGATTTTTTCCATTTTAATTTTTACTTAAGATGGGGTAGACTCGTGCCTGCTAGCAAGAAAGTCTGTAGGCAGGAGAGTTGAATGTAAAGGCCAAGTCAAAGTCATGGAGGAGGCAGGACATAGATGAGACATTAACCTCAGGTAAGAAGGGAAACGGGGAGTTCTTTGCCTGTCCACTTAGGACACTTCCACTGTAGGGGGCCTGGCTTTGAGCCCTGCTTTGGGAACCAAGATCCACATGCCCTGAGGCATGGTCAAAAAACAACAGGGAAGCAAACAAAGGAAAACCTCTCTTCTGCTTAGTGGAGGAAGAGGGGAAAGGATGCCTATAGAAGGAGGTAAGTTTGCTGATCTGATGGCAGGAGGCTACAAGTTTTTTCATTTATTCATTCAACAAATATTTTTGAATTCCTGGCACATGCCAGGCACTGTTTAGATGCTAGCGATACAAAGAGAACAAAACAAGATCTCCATCTCCATAGAACTTAAATTTCAGGCAAGTGGATAGAGAAATACATATGTATGTATTTTTCAAAGCCACAGTAGTTGATCAATGCTATGAGAAAACATAAAGAAGCTTGGGGAGAGAGACTTGAAAGGGTATCTGTTTAAATAGGGTGTCTAGGATCAGCCTCTTTGAGGTGGAAAATGAAAAGGCAAGGCATTAAAGATCTAGAAGGATTATTCCAAGCAGAGGAAACAACAGATATACAGGCCCTGAGGCAGAAGTATGTGCAGCAGCATCAAAGAGTAATAGTAAGGAGGCTCCCTGAAACTAATATTGTAAGTCAGTTATACTTCAATTAAAAAAAAAATGTAGGAGGTCAGTACAGCTGCAGTAGAAGAAGGCAGGAGAGAGGTATGAGAACAGTAGGCAAGGTTCTGGTCACAGAAGTCTTACAGTAGGCTTTGGTGGGGATTTTAGACCTTTAGTCTGAACGTGATGAGGACTCTTGGAAGGTTTTGAATAGAGAAGTGACCTGATATAATCTATGTACAAATAATTGGGCTGCATGTGCAGAATAGATGGTAGAGAACAAGAATGAAAGTTGGGAGTTCAGTTAGGAAGTTACTACACCAGTCAGATGAGAGATGATGATGGCTTGCACCTGCATGGTGGTTGTGAAGGGGTAAAAAGTTAGTCCAATTGGGAATCTATTCTGAAAGTGATGTCCACAGGTCTTACTGAGAGACTGAACATGGGATGTGAAATAAAAGAATAAGAGCCTCAAACACCTCAGATAGAACATTGGCTAACGTAGAATTGATTCCTTCAAAGAAGCCCTAGCCCAGGTATATGAAGAATGTTTGGATGAGATAAGTACATTATTTAGGGAAAAGGGAAGGAAATGTATTGGAAATATTTGCTAGATGCCTATACTGTGTGATTTTTATGTGTCAACTTGTTGAATCCTGTCCACCACCTATGGTAATGTTGTTATTCTTAATTTTAGAGATAAAAATTGTAATTTAGGTTAGATTTAATAGTTTACTCAAGTCACGTTATTTGTGAATTTTAATTTAACAACTAAGCTGTTGTCACTAACTTAGAAAATAACACTTTTATAGCACTAGTACTAAGTTTAATCAAATTAAAATATTTATTTTGAAGCAAACTGGTACTTAAGAAAAGTCAGCTTTAATTAGATGATAATTCAAAGGTATGTATCATTTTGGGAGCAGTTCTGAAAGACTTTCTAGGTTTTCAAGGCTCTCAGAAGCTAATGGCACTAGTTATTTCACATTTCTAATCTCACTTTCTGAAGATTCATCCCTAGTACAATTTTTGCACTTATTAGGACATATGCCTTTTTTTTTTTTTTTGATGCACAAGATAGATCCAGAGCTAGAGACTATTTCCTTTAAGGACCTGGGCAAGAGCTAGGAGAGGGGAAGAAGTTCATGAACAAGTGCATATTGTGATGGTAACTCTTCAGCTCTGGAGAATGAAAACTTAAGAGGGGGAACATTACCGTGGAGAAAGCTGGAGCAGGGGAACCCAGGGAAGCCTATCTATAGTCCCAAGATTCCTTAGCATCTGGACTCGGGAACAATGTAAAGTAAGTCTGTTTCTATCTGGACAAGATTCTTACAAGCAGCTGGGGGCAGGGCTACTCTGTTCCTTTATATTGCTCTCCTTAATGTTTATGCTCCTTTTAACCTGGAGGAATTTAACCTTGGACATATTTAAGAATTCCCACCAAAATCACTGAAGGAAGAGGCAGTGGGATATAATGGAAAGGGCAGGGACAATTCAGAGACTAAGATGCCACCTTAGTGGAGGCTCCGGAGAGGAATGTGGACCTCAGAATGCCTGCTTTGCCCGCAATGGGCAACCTCAAGTAGGTCATTTCCTCTGAGCCTAAGGATCCTCATTTGTTAAATAGGGATAAATGAGAGTAAAAAGAGGAACTACCTCATAGGTTCCTATAAGACTAAAATGAGTCAGTCTATAAAGTACTTAGACAAAGGGCTCCACAAGAGTTGGTTACTATTAGTAAGTTTCACTATCAGTGTGACTAGACTGACAGCTTAAACATTTTTGCCTTTTATTTCCTCAGATGTAAAAGGATCGATAGAACTAAGTGATACTGCAGATTTCTTTACAATTTTATAATTATGATGTTTGTTATGTATGTTGTTTCTTAAGGTGATAGGAAAGAAGTAGGAAATCTTCCTATGGCAGCCACCAGGTGGCAGTACTGAGTTTTACGGACTTGCCGCTTTGGGGGAAACGTCCTAATTTTTTCAGTATTAAAAAGAAAAGTTTAATCACTCATAATCTCTATTCCCAAGGAAATACCTTTAAAATTTTTGACGTATAACCTTCCATCCAGGTTATTTCTTCACATATACTTGTAAATTATTATGTTTCAATTTTTTATGAGAAATGGTGTTACATATGTTGTTTTGTAATGTTTTTTTTTAAACACAAAATTATACGGTGAACATTTTCCATAGCAATTGATGTAGTTCTACATCATAATTCTTAAAAGTTCCATGGTATTCCACAGGTATTTGTTTAAACCATGATTTGTTTGAATTATCCTCTACTTAGCAAACACTGACTGGAAAAATTTCCAGAAGTGAAATGCCTGGGTTGTGCACTCCCTTTTTTCTCTATTTTTTGTTTTTGCATCTGATAGAGCAAGGTCACTTATTAGTGCCTTCCTTCAGAATTTAATTGACTATCTAAAGCCTTTATTCTTCGTGATGAAATTTTAAATCTTTTAATCAGATTCTGCCCCTCTGTCTCCCCTAAAAATTTCACTGGGATTTTGATTGATACTGTGTTAAATTTACAGATTAATCTGGGGGGGTGGAGTCTGCATCATCCAATATTTTGTCTCTCCATCCAGCAGTATGGTATACTTCTCTAGTCACGCAATTCTGTCAGAAAAATTTCAGTGTTATTTAGTTTTTCATTTAATTTGCTTCAGGATATTTTTGTTGTTGCTGCTGTTAATAAATACTATCTGTAAAAATATTTTTCTAATGGCTTTTGTTGGTATGTAGAAACACTATTAATTTCAGGATTATTGGTTCTGTAGTTGGCCATGTTACTGAACTCACTTAACGGGTCTAATACTCTTATCTATCCTTTCACTCACTTTGTAAATACTCATGAGTGCTTACAGTGTGCAACGCAGTATTCTGCGGAAATAAGCAGTTAAAAAAAAAATCTGTTCTCAAGATCTTTACATTCTACTGAGAGAAAATACCAAACAAATATGACAGGAGGTGCTAAGTGCTAAGAAGGTGGGAAAGTGTAGTAAGAGGAGGAAAACTGACCACAAAAAACACGATTTTGGATAATGTGTTTAAATAAGCCCCCTCTGATCAGTTGAAGTTTGAGGAGAGACCTAAAATGATGTTGTTTTTCTTGGGTTTTCCCAGTAGATATTTATATCATCATATGTCCCCCGCCACCCCGCCCCACAGCAGGGTCTCCGTGATCCTGGAGGATTGTCTGCCCTGTGACAGCGACACCTAAGATTCAGTCTATAGAGGAGGCTTCCAGTGACCGGGTTCCGCACTGTCAGTGTCCACAGACTTAAATGATGGCTCCAGGAGTCTTCATAGCCGCAACCCCAAGTGGATTTTAGCGGTTCACAGAGTTCAGTGTGCTCCTGGCAAGTCTACCTTTCCCTTCCCCTCCCAAATCACGGGATCTGCCTGCTTCACCGGTATAAACTGCCTAAGGGGACGATCCCCAGAGACCGTTATTACAGGCTAGAAGCTGTTTGAAAGAAAAATCCAACCGGCTGTAATTTCCTCTCTAAAAAAATGAGAAATAATCCCATCATCTCATGCCTGTTTGCCTCTTTAACAGGTCCAGTCTGTCATGTAGCGCTTTGAAATCATCGCTTTACCCCTTTGGTGGCTGCGCTGGGACTCCGCGGCTGTGTGGGCTTCTCTCTGCTGGCGCCGAGTAGTGGCTGCTCTCCAGGTGAGGGCTTCTCGCTGCGGGGGCTTCTGTGGAGCACGGGCTCTGGGGTCTGCTGGCTTCAGTAGTGGAGGCTCCCAGGCTCTAGAAAACAGGTTGTGGCACACAGGCTTTAGTTGCTCCAAAGCATGCGAGATCTTCCTGGAAGAGGGATCAAACCCACGTCTCCTGCCTTGGGAGGCGGATTCTTCATCACTGATCCACCAGGGAAGGCCTGACATATAGATCCTTAACCCCATAACTCTTAGTTTTAATCTAGCCCAACTTCTCACTTCTCTTAATCTGTTTTGATTCTTTCATTGTGCTTGTTATCCGTCAAATCCCCTATTATCCTTAACTTTTCTAAACATTCCCTTTATCTTCTTACTCTAACCCCAAACCTAGTCATCTCCTGTAATATTGTTTCCTTTCAATTCTCTCAAGTTGTAGCTGTTTTGTTTTGCTTTAAATCCTTCAGGTCCTGCTTGCTCCCAGTTCCAAACATTTCCCCTTCCTTCGAAAATCCTAGTTCCTTTGAATGCATGCCATTACACTACAGCCTGAATCTACCCAGGTTGTGTCCGTGTGCTCAGTCACTTTAGTCGTGTCCGACTCTTTGCGACCCCATAGACTGTAGCCTGCCAGGCTCCTCCATCTATGGGATTCTCCAGGGAAGAATACTGGAGTGGGTTGCCATTCCCTTCTCTAGGGGATCTTCCTGCCCAGGGATTGATCCCATTTCTCTTAGGTCTCCTGCATTGGCAGGTGGGTTCTTCACCACTAGCGATACCTGGGAAGCCTGCTAAAACAAAAAAGTAAACATTCTCAATAGAATTTAAGCAACACACAGAGTTTCCAAATAGAAGAATCAAAATGTCTAGGATACAATCTAAAATTACTAAGCATACAAAGAACAGGAAAATCTCAATTCACATGGGAAAAAAAGATGTCAGTGCTGAGAGAACACAGATAGTGGACTTACCTGACAAAGGCTCTGAAGCACTCATTTGTTGGAAGACAGCTCTCCAATGATCTCTTGTATTTCTGCATGTCTTTCGGGCAAGGGCATTAAGAGCTTTTTCCTGATTTTTTCTGGGATGTTTGTGTAGCCAACATCTTTAGAAGACAGAGATAATGTCTTCCTCTGGGCCCAAGGGGAGATTGGTTTGCTGTCTAGAATAAAAAAGATGAGTTTCTCTCCATTACTCAGTTGGATAGGTTTGCTAGTCCTTTATTACAAACTGGAGTTTCCCCATAAAGTTCCTCTCCTATCAGGAAACTCACTGCATACACAGGTATCACCTGATCCTCCTGGCATTACTTGGTAGGAACTGGGATCCAGGAAACTGTCAGAAATCCTGATATTCTACTTCCCACTACTGCAGTGAGTGATAAATTGTCCTTTGTCTGTGGTTCACGAGACTCACACCTTCACCACTATGCATTAAACTGCGACAGCCTAACTTGTTAACTTCTAAGTAAAGTAAAATGCCAGACCTTTCAAAATTCCGAATTCTGTTATAAAAATCCTCTTAACAAGCAATAAAAAAAGCACTTTTGAAACCAGTGGAAAAATATAAAGTATCAGCAAGAAATAGAAAATATAAAGAAACAAATGTTTAGTTTAAAATTGGTAAGTGTAATAGCCAAAATTTATTACAAAATTCACCACAAGGTCTCAGTAGCAGAGGAGATGACAGAGAAACGTGTCAGTGAAATTGAAAACATCAATACAAACTATCCAACCTGAACAATAGAGGGGGGAAAAATTGGATAAATAATGAATAGAATCTCAGGGACCTGTGGATAATAGCAAAAGGTGTTGAAAAATGTTTTGAATATATAATGAATGAAAAGTCTCAAGTTTGGCAAAAGATATAAACCTATAGATTCAAGGAGCTCAACAAAGCCAAAACATAATGAACATAAATCTGTGTCCAGACACATCTTCATCAAAATGCTGAAAAAGACAAAGAAAAATCTTGAAAGCAGTCAGAGAAATGCAATGTATTACTACAGAGTAACATCAGTTTGAATTACTATAGATTTCTCATCAGGGACCATGCAGTCCAGAAGGAAGTAACACATTTTTAAAGTGCTGCAGTAGAAGAATGGTCAACACATAATAGTATATGCAGTAAAAATATGTTTCAGGTGAAATAAAGGCCTTCTCAGATGAAGAAAAACTAAAAGAACTCATTGCCAGTTGGTCTGTTCTAAATAATTGCTAAAAGAAGATCTTCAGACAGAAGAGAAATGACACTAGGAGAAAACCTGGAACATCAGGAATGAAGAAAGAGCATGAGAAATGGTAAATATTTGTATAAATATGGGAGATTATTCTTGAGTTTATAAAATTTACTTGATGTTAAAAGCAAAAATTACACCTTTGTCTGAAGGGTTTTTTTTGACATGCGTGCTAAGTCGCTTCAATTGTGTCCGACTCTGCTACCCTATGGACCATAGCCCACCAGGCTCCTCTGTCCGTGGTATTCTTTAGGCAATAACACTGGAGTGGGTTGCCATGCCCTCCTCCAGGGGATCTTCCTGACCCTGGGATTGAACCTGTGTCTCTTACGTCTCCTGCATGGCAGGTGGATTCTTTACTACAGTGCTACCTGGGACGTATGCAGATGTAACTGATGACAGAACATAAAGGGGAGAAGATAAGTGGGCCTATGTGGTGGTAAGGGTTCTGTATTTCACTTGGAAAAAAAAAACAAAAACATTGATTCTATACAAATTTTAAAAGTTTTAATATTTGCCTTCCTTGAACTTTGTTTTTGCTTCAGGGGCTTTGCAGTTGTTTTTCCCTGTGTCTGAAAAACCATTTCCTTATATATACCATCAGCCCTCCCTATCTGAGGGCTCTGCATTGGTGGAGTCAACCAACCTCAGATCAAAAATTTTTGGAAAAAAATTTTTAGAAAGTCCCAAAGAGCAAAATTTGAATTTGCCACATGCTAACAAATACTTACATAGCATTAACATTCTGTTAGATATTATGTGTAATCTGGAGATGATTTAAAGTGTATGGGAGGAGGTATGTATTAGGTTAAATACAAGTACAACTCCATTTTATATATGGGCACTGAGCATTTATGGATTTTGGTATCCTTAGGGGATCCTGGAAACAGTTCCCTGAAATTGAGTGTTTTTTATGTGGCATATAGCTAGATTTTTTTAAATTTCAAAATAAATAAATAATAAAAATTTCAGTCTCTATCTTTGGTAATTTTAATTGTTGTTGTTGTTGAGTCACTAAGTTGTGTCCGACTCCACGGGGTCAGCAACCCCGTGGACTGTAGCATGCCAGGCTTCTCTGTCCTTCACTATCTCCCAGAGTTCGCTCAGATTCACTTCCATTGAGTCAGTGATACTGTGTAAACCATCTCATCCTCTGTTGCCCCCTTCTCCTTTTGCCTTCAGTCTTTCTCAGTATCAGAGTCTTTTCCAGTGAGTCAGCTCTTTGAGTCAGGTGGCCAAAGTACTGGAGCTTCAGCTATCGCAACAGTTCTTCCAGTGAATATTCAGGGTTGATTTCCTTTAGGATGGACTGGTTGGATCTCCTTGCAGTCCAAGGGACTCTCAAGAGTCTTCTCCAACACCACAGTTCAAAACCATCAATTCTTTGGTGCTCAGTCTTTATGGTCCACCTCTCACATCTATATATGACTAATGGAAAAACCACAGCTTTGACTATATGGATTTTTGTGGTAAAGTGATACCTCTGCTTTTGAATACATTGTCTAGATTTGTCATAGCTTTCCTTCCAAGGAGCAAGTGTCTTTTTTTTTTTTTCCCAAGGAGCAAGTGTCTTTTAATTTCATGGTTGCAGTTACTCACTGTCCACAGTGATTTTTGGAGCCAAGAAATGAAATCTGTCACTGCTTCCAATTTTTCTTCTTCTATTTGCCATGAAGTGATGGGACTGGATGCCATATTCTTAGTTTTTTGAATGTTGAGTTTCAAGCCAGCTTTTTCACTCTCCTCTTTCACCTTCATCAAGAAGCTCTTTAGTTCCTCTTCACTTTCTGCCATAAGAGTATTATCATCTGCGTATCTGAAGTTGTTGGTATTTTCCCAACCATCTTGACTGCAGCTTGTAATTCATTCAGCATGGCATTTTGCATGATGTATTCTGTATAGACGTTAAATAAGCAGGGTGACAATATACAGCCTTGTCATACTCCTTTCCCAATCCTGAACCACTCAGTTGTTCCATGTCTGGTTATGTTGCTTCTTGACCCATAATACAGCTTTCTCAGAAGATGGGTAAAGTGGCCTGGTATTTCCATCTCTTTAAGAATTTTCTGCAGCTTATTGGAATCCACATAGTCAGAGGCTTTACTGTAGTCAATGAAGCAGAAATAGATGTTTTTCTGAAACTCCCTTGCTTTTCCATGATCCAATTAATGTTGGCAATTTGATCTCTGGTTGCTCTGCCTTTTCTAAACTCAGCTTGTACGTCTGGAAGTTTTTGGTTCACATACTCCTGAAACCAGCAGAGCATAACCTTGCTAGCATGTGAAATGAGTGCAGTTGTACAGTAGTTTGAACATTCTCTGGTATTGCCTTTCTTTGGGATTGGAATGAAAGCAATTTTATATATTTATTTTGATTCTTGATGTATTTGAATTTATTTCTACATCCTTTTTGTTTATGTTTACCTTACTTTTTCTGAGTTGCTTTTTTGCCTTTTGTTGGAATTTTTTTTTTAAATTAAGTTTTGTTCGGAGTTTTAAAATTCCATTTTTCTCTCTTTATTTGGAATGCGTACACTCTATATTTGTTCTTTTTAGATGTTTTCTTGTACCTCTAACTTAACAAAATGTAAACAGTATATTAACCCTTCTCCTAAACAAAACAATGATCTTAGAATCATTTTAACTCCACTGACTACTCTTCCGACACCTACACGCTATTATTATTCAAGATGCTAGTTCTGTCCATTTTTTAAACCTCACAGATCACACATTTTTTAGACAGCGTTTAGCCTGCTGTGCTGCAGTCCATGGGTCACAAAGAGTGGACACGACTGAGCAACTGAACTGAACTAGGCTGACAAGTTTGTTTACCTTGGATTCACTCTCAGTTCTGTCTTGCATCTCAGACTATTCTAGGATAATTCCCTTGTAAAAAAATTTTTTTAAAGTTCTCACTTTATGCCAGGCTTTGTTCTAATTGCTATTTTCTACTAACTCATTCAATTCTTAAAGCAAGTCCATGAGGTATGTACTGTTACTGGCAACATTTTAGA